TAGGATGAAATGTGGCCAGTCGCTGCAGATGAAGCCAAGCTTTGTTTCTGTGTTCATGAGTGATTCTGCTGGGTATGTGATTTAAAACATAGCTGTTGAAGCATGGATTCTTGTTCCCTCCAGAGGGGAAGGCACTTGGGCACAAACCCGCGGGATTGCTGGGATGCCAGCCTCCCACACAGGTTCCCATCTTTTCCTGGGTTAAACTGGGGTCTGGGCCTTGGGGTTTTTTGTGCTTTTTGTTAATGTCCTGTTAATAACCTGGGTTGCTTATGACTTACTTAAATGTAGTGGGGTCTAGTGGCAACACAGGGGTCTTGTGTAAGACTGTGTTGAAGGCACAGGTAAACTGTGCTAGAGTCCCCAGTAATGGGCATAGAGGAGCACTGGGGAGAGGCTTAGCTTCTTCAGATCTTCCCAGGTATGTGTCTCTGTTCCCACTGTGCCTGCTCAGAGAGAGCCAAATTCAGTTTCCAGATGACAGCTTCAAACATGCAGCCAGTGCCTCTCACCCTCCTCAGTCCAGCTGGGATTTCTGTGAAGTTGGTGGTCGGTTTGCGCAATGATAGAGCTGGGGTTGGGTGGTGTAAATTCTTAATTGCTGTCACTAATACTGCGGTTGCATTGCTGAGAAACAAAGGCGAAAATGTGCCTTTAGAGCTTTGTTTTTTCCCTTGTTTCCCCTTTTGTCTCTCCCCACTGGGAATATTTTGCTCTTTTCTCCTAGTCTTTCCCTGCAGCTCCTTGCCACCCCTCTCTCCCCTTGCCACCCACAGGCTTCTCTGTCCTTGATTTCTCCAGCCTTGGTTTGGTCAGCAATAAAGAGATAGTGCCAATCCTTAAATATGACATCATTTGGGTCGGGTTGATACTGTGGTTAGATTAATAAAAGCTGTGGGGAGGTGGTGTGTTCCTGAGCTGTTATTCCAGGCCACTGCAGACCTCAGCTAGTGATGCTTGCCAAAAGCTCACAAGATGGAGAGGAAGGCACGTGCATCTCTGTAACTTAAAATGTGGATGGTGTGAGAGCTGAGTAAGCTGTACAGGAACAATATATTTTTCAAGAGTAAAGGTGTTAAGCGTGTATGTCATTAGGAGGCATATTTATTCAAAATAATGCAACTGAAATAAATGCTACATTAGTTAGATCCTTGATTACGTGTAAATAGAGGCAGAAAGCAAGTATGATAGCAACTTAAACCCTTTTATCCTGTCAGTCTACTTCATTACACCCTACTCTTCTGGTTTGCATTTGTGCATATCCTGCATCCTTCTGCCTCAGTAAGGTATTCATTAGCTCACCATTTTGCTGAAATCAGTCTCAGTCTTTAAAAAAAAAATGCTGTGCTGTTTGATGTAGCAGGATTTGGTGACTTTGTGTTAGTGAGTGATCAAAATGATGAGTAGAATTCTTCTTCCCCCTTGCCCCTCACCAAGTGCAAGTTTTCAAATTAAGATTTGGAAGTGAGAGGTGTAGAAAATACTACTTTTTAAACTTCTGGAAAGCAATGCTTCTATTCAATAGGTATTTTATAGTGTAAAAATGTAAATTCAGTTTTAGTAGAATGGCTAAATGCTGGTTTGTGTTGTCTTTGGAGACTTCAGAGCCGCCCCTTATTTTCATCCTCTTCAGTGGAGAAATGAAAAGGCCTGTGTGCACTTCACAGGAAATGAGTGTCTGATACAGGCTGCACATTTCCAAGAACCACTCTCAAGGTATTTTGATAATGCACATTCTCTCTGCCTTCTCCCTTCCTGCTTCTCCTGCACTTTGTGTGCTTCTGCTTGTTTGCAAACACATGCAAAGTTGAGGGGAAGAATCGAACGGTGTAACTATTAAGTTTGCAGATGGGCTCCTTTAGCTTTATACTGGAGCAGTGGCTGGCAAAATTGAGTTAGGCTGGCAGCATTCAGTTGCCTTTGTTGCAGAGGGTTTTTGTCCTTCCCTTCACTCCCTGCTAATGCTGAAGAAAAATTTTGACTTCACATTGTGACTTGTGCAACAAGGGAGTTTTTTGTGTGTATGTGATTCTGCAGTTCAGAAACAGTTTGGATCTACTTTCATGCTTCCTCAGTAGCAAAGTTTATTTGGAAACTTAGGCTAAAGCTAAGAAAATGAGTGTGGCTGTTAGCAGTTGGAAAATGCCAGAGACCTGCAGTCTGAACTGTGTAGCTGTGCTTCTGCACATCCTGCTGAAGGTGCCTTGCTGAAGTTAAGGGGATTCAGCATAAGTTTGCCTCCGTTGGCACGCTAATTGCTATGAGCACAGTTTGATTGTGCAGGAATTGTTTGTTTATGCTTTTTAACAGACCAGCAGTGTTGTTCTTTATCCATATTTTAGTTCTTCCTTGTTTTCTGGTGAGATTTTGTGGTGTGGAAGGAGGGAAGTTGGAGCTGGAGAAACATTTACTGCTTTAGCAGTAAACACTGAAATCTGCTGTTTGTGTAGGGTGTGCGCTGATATTCAAATCAGCACATCCAAAGAAGAGATGCTGTTCTTTTTAGTTATTAAAGAATGAGGAAAACATGGACAGAGCTATTTTAACTCTGCAGCAGGTCCATAGTTGATTCCTCATATTGACTTCATATACCCTTGTTTACTACTTCAGTTTTGCACAAAGGGCACTTATGCCTTGTGCTGGGCTCCCCATAGTGTTATGTCAGGTTTGAATGGTTAAGAGGTGTCTTAAAAAAGTGTTGCTAAAAAACCCAGCCCTTTGCTTCTGGATTCCTCTGCCTAAGGTTGCTAAAGCATGGCATGGTGGGTACAGCATAGAAACAAAGCAAAGACATTTGAGAGAAAAGAGAAATGAGACTCCTTAGATCAGCTCTCTCACTTTCCCCAGTCTACATGATTGGAGTTTTTCCTTTTATGAGTTTTAAAATTAGTTACTTTTCAATCTTGGTCACCTTTGAACTTCCTCTCATCTGGTTTTCTGAAAGAATACAAAAAGAATTGTACTGATTGTACTGTATCTTTCTCTGGCATCCTCTTGTATATATGTCTGCTCTCTAAACTGAGCTTGAAATTTCTTCAGTCTCTGTACAGTTACGTGTTGCTTCTTCTTACCCATCTTTAGGCTTATCTTCTCTCTTTCAGCTCTGTGTGCTTTTATTTCAGGTGACTAGAACTGACTGGATTCTTTCAGGTGGTGGTGACATTACTGTTATGTTCCCACCCATCCATTTTGCACCTTTCCATTCCGGCTCGCTTCTTGGTTTTTAGATGACTGCTTTTGCATTCGAAGCTGGAGCTTTCCTTAATGAACCCTCAGCACTGTTACTCGGCTCATTGGTCAGCTGCGCCACTTAATTTATTGCTCTTGAAAATACAGACCCAGCTGGTTTTCCTACGAGCCTGTGTGCATTTGCATGTGTCAGGACAGAGTCTTGCCTGACCTCCTGCTGCTTTCCTGCTGACGAATTTTGAATGACCTCTGACTTCTCTGTCCTGCAGAGAGTGAAGTGATTTTGTCACTGTTTACCCTGGGAAGGCAATGGAGAGGGCTCACTGTGTTTTGAGTTGGCTGCCTAGATTTAAGTAACATGAGGCTGTGAGCTGCCTGCTGGGGGACAAGGTTAGGCCTCAGGGGTTTGAGGTGTTGTGGGTAATGACAGCTTGAAGACGGGGAGAGACAATTCTAGGAAGAGACCTGGGTCAGCATGTGAGTGTGCACAGTCAGGGGGCAGGGAGCTGCTTGTCTAAGAGATGGGGGAGCCTTTGGGCTGCTTGTACCCACCAGCCTGTTGAGGAGTGAGATGGGATGCTCTTCAAAGTGGGCTGAGTCAAACCAGGGGGAAGATGCAGTGGCTGGGAGGGTGGCAGAAGGTGACCTGATGTGCAGGGGCTGAAATGAAATACCTTTGTTTCCTCTGGCCACCCCTCTTCCACCTCCCATTCACCCTGTGGCTTCATGTCTTCTGCCTATCTGCTGTACAGGTCCTGGATGCTGCTGGCTCTTTAGTTCGTGTACTGTGTCTCGCTTTCTGACTTGCTTTGGTGAAGCACAAAGTGTGTTCTGTCATCTGTTGCTTCTTCAGGTGCCATCTGCTTGATGGGCAACTCTGCCTGGGGGTTGGCTTTCCCCCACACCAGGTACCTTGTGCTGCTCCTGTCTTTGCAGCACATGTCAAAAAAAGCTCCTTCCAATACTTACAGCTGTCTGGCAATTGCTAGTGCAGCTGATTTGGTTGAGAGAACACCTCTCTTTGTATCTCAACCATCAATTTCTAATACAAAATCTCTGGGTATAGTCCACTGTGCCCAGCTGACTTTTTGCTTTAATGTCACTTTCTCCTGTCCATCTCTTCTGATAGAGCACCCTCTTTTTCCTTTCAGGTTAATCAGCATTAAGTACTGGGAAATCTCCTCAACATCCTGTGCAAGAAAAAAATAATACCTGCTTGCTTGTGTAACTTTTCTGCAGTGTCCCTGTCCCCACTACTTGGTGTCCCACTCAACTAAATTATTCCCCCTGAGGTTTTCTGTTTTTGATAAACTGAAAATGCCATATGTTTTCTGGGTTTTGTTTCATTTATCTTGGCCACCTACTGTTCCAGTTTGACATAAATTTGTTCCCTACTGTCAATAATTTATATTCCTTTATATTGGTCCTCCAGGATTATTTTTTCATCTGCTGAAGGAATAATTGAGGTTGTAGAGAGATTTGAATAGGGACTGTGGTTTTCTAGTGTGTGTTTGATGTCTCATCCACAGCAGAAGCCTTTGCAAGCTGTTGCACCTACAGCTGATACCTGCAGTGTGACCTGTGTTGTCCCCCAGGCCTGTCCCCTTAGCCAGGCAGCATCTCTGTGCTGTCATATGTGGGAGGTCTGCACACTCTGTCACTTAAGATTTCCTAAATAACCTTTCATGACTTAATTTTATTTTTTTAAAATTCTTTTACTTTTGACTCTCAGGACTAGTTTCTTTATTTTGTGTGTTGGAAATCCCCCACTATAAAACTTAATGTTGTGGTGTGTCTGTGCTTTCTGACCCTTGCCCTTTCTTCTGAAGGCACAGTAACTGGTGCTGCGTAATGGCTCCTCACATCTTTTGAAGCTGATCCATCTGAAGAGTCAAGGCAGGGTGTTTCCCTTGTCCCCCCTGTGGTCCTGTTGGTTGATCATCTGGGACTCCTCTAGCAGCGTAGCTCTGGTAAGAATACTGAACCAGTTTTGGCTGCAGACACTGCTCATTTCTCAGATTTAGCTGCTTCTTTGAATTCCTTTCTGGCGCAATGTGATGGTTTTGATAAAAAGCCATGGTTGTCACAGGGACCACTGCTAGCCTTTGTGTCTCAGGATTTACTCATTTCCTCAAACAGGCTTCTGGAACAAAGTCAGTTTAGTAGGGAAAGGCAGAGGAAATGTACCTGTGCGGGTGGTCTGGAGGTGGGGGGAGCTGGTAATGCTGAGGAGCCATGATGGATTGGAGTCAGCCCTGGGCATCGCTACCTCATCCCTACTGATCCCCCTCTCAGCGGGGAGATGGGACAGAGCATTTCAAGTAGGGAGACATGAGGGACTGCTGTTATCTTGGCTTCTTTCTTCTTCCTCCTTGTGCTCTCTCCCCGTCTCCTTGTTTCTGCCCTCAAACTAGGGAGAGCTCCAGCCACCTTTCCAGGGGCTTTTTCCTGAGCTGGCGTGGTGTGGAGGGAGGGACAGCAAGGCAGCAGCACAGACTCTGTGTTCCCTGGCCAAGCACAGGGCTGAGGTTTTGTGTAGCTGTGCAGCACTAACATTCACAGGAATGGCTGCTCTCTGTGAAACTGCAGAGGTCGGGAGCAACAACGCGACTGGGCTTCCCTCACTTACCAAAATGCTGTTGGTCAGAGGCAAGCAACAACTCTCTTTGCTTAAGCCATAGCAGGATAGGCTCTGCTGTGGCTTTGGAACTTAGTAGTAACATAGTAAGTCCTCCTGAATTCCTTGGTTTTGTTTTTGTTTTTTTCCCCCCTCTTCTTCTTGTTTCCCCTGTTACAGGAGAAGGCAGAAATAATTCACTCTTCAATACAGTAGAAGATGTCATTGGCAGAAATCAGAAGGTAGTTTTGGTAGTTTTACTTGCTGTGAAATAAGCTTTAAGAGTTCCTTGTGACTACTGCAGAGCAGCCTCAGAGTTCAGGGAAGTGATGAGGCTTCTCTGTTATACTGAAATGGCAGGATTGCGGTTTCACATTGGGCTGTTCTGGTGAGGAATAGGCTCTTTTATTTGAAAGTATTTCTGAAAGTGTGTAATATTTCCGAGGTTGGAGGAGGGAACCCTAAAAATAGATGTCTTTCTCCCAGCTCCTTCAATTAGCCCAGTAAAGACAATTAGTTTTTCCTTTAAACTGCCACCTTGTTGGGTTTTTCTTAAGGCATATCCTGGAGAAACCAAAGTGCTTGCAGACTTCCCTGTCTTGAAGAGTATTTGGCACACATCACACTTGTTGCTTTTCTTGGAGAAAAATCCTTTTAGCCACTATTAGCAAAGTGCCATATTAATTCAGAGAACACATGTCATAGAAAAATATATTAAGAAGTACCAAACATTAATATTAGATCCATGCAAAGTTATTGTGGGTTTTGAAGTATGTTCTCCAGATCCAAAATGCTGGGAAGTGTTTGATAAGACAGGTCTTCTTGCAAGGTGTCCAGCTGCTGATTCCCAGAGTCTGCATGCAGGATCTTCCTGTACTGTGTCTCTACTGTGCGAAGTTGTAACTGCCACAGGGTGTGTGCTGCCTCAGCTTATTTTTTTAAATATTATATACTTGGATGCTAGTTGTATAGGGAAATGCAGTTTTGGTTTGGGGTATGTATGTGTGATGTGGTTTGGTTTTTTTCCCACATATTCTCTCATGTCAGACATAATGGCAGTCTCACATCAAACTGCCATGGCATAAAAGATAGAGGGAACTGCAATGTCCCCGAGGCCTGCTTTGTGCTGGAGAAATTGGCTGTGATTAACATTGGTCCTCTTGGCTGAACTGGGCCACATTCCTCCTCTAACCACAGCTCCCTCTGTTCTCCTTGGCAGTCTGTCTGTGCATCTCCTTTCCCTTCCCCCTCCATGATCCCTGTCTGGACCAGCCCTGGTCACCTTGGCTGTGGCAGGGTGCTCATGGCAAGGGGCACTGGTGTGGCCGTGCACCATGGCAGTGACGGTGTGATTCAAACCAGTGCCGCTGTGTGGCTGGCGGTGGCGGTCTGGGAACCAGGCTGGCCTACCATTAAAACCCAGTGCTGCAGCCTTGGCTCTTACCAGGGAGGTTTCTTCCAGCCCTTTGCTCAAGCTTTCCTTTGAAACAGCCTTCCCAGCCACAAATCAGTAGGCAGCGCATTTCTGTGGGATGCAGACGTGCAAACAAGAGAAGTGTGCTCAGGCTCTGCTGCCTGGAGTAGGGACGCTGTTGCAAGAGCTTGCAGGATACCTTAGGGAGAGCTTTTCCTAATTATCCCAGCCTCCATCTAACTGCTCTGGGAACTGCAGGGTTGATATCTGGGAGATGTCAAAGCCAGGTAGAGTGGTAGTGTGGTAGTGGGAAAGTATAATAATGAGATCGACCTGCAGTTTTGCTATCTGCAAGTCAGTGTAGCTTGTGGGGTATGTGCCCAGTTCGGACTGGGCTGGGAAGGATGCAGAAAAGTGATGTTACATGGGTACAAGTGAAGCTGTGCAGGGACTGCCTCTGAAAGGCATGCAGAAAACTGGGATTGTTTTTTCAGCTTGCTGATGGATCCACTGACAGACACGTGATTGCACACGTGGTGCTCTGCTTCTCCACCAGGTCACTGGGTTTACTTTTCCATCTGCGAGGTGAGAAAGAAAAGTCTTGAGAGCTGGGGAAGCAGAGCAGAAGAATGTGGGCCAGAATGGATTGGGTCACAATTAGGATAAATCAGCAGTGAATGGATACCTGTGTGGTGTCAAATAAGATACTCTTAAATGTTGTGTTTTGTATTCAGCGCAAGTTGGGACTTTGCTGTTCTGAATCCTTAGGTTTATTCCTGTTGCCATCATCTCTTAACATTTGGGTTTTATGGTTCCTGCTTCTGGAACATGATGGCAACTTTATGGTCTTTCTATTTGTCCTTGGGTCACCTGTGAGCTGCCTGGACCTAATCAGTTCCTGGCTTTGTAAGCAGCAATAATAATAACAACAGCAATAATCTGCTGTCTCTGTTGCTATCTAAAGTGCTGTATACGTGTTTCTACAGTAACACAGATCAAAGAGATAGAGACAAACAACCTGTCCCCAGATTTGTTGTATTTTAGATCCATATTACAGCAAACTAATGGGCTTAGTCACCTGCTTGACGGACGTCTCTTTCTTTTCAAAGGATGGATTTGCTCTTGTGTAAAGCAAAAACTGGCAAGTGCTGCATCAGAGCTTTTGAATTTGGACAACTTCCAGTCCTGACATCCAGAAATTCATCCCTATGGGTGGCAAAGACAAAGAGGTAAGCTGTTTCAAGTATCCTGGAAGAACAGTGTGAGAATGCATCATAGCTGAATATTTAAGGCTGATGTTGAACATGCCAGATTTGTCAAGCCCCGGGGTGCAGGGTTGGCTTAGCTGACACCACATGCTGTGTACAGTCCCCTGGTTTACTAGAATTGTCTCCTCATATAAAATGTGCTGCCTTGCCCGAGTCGTGAGTGAGGAGGAAAGCAGAATGCCCTGTGTCAAGAGCACTTATTTTGAAAAGCTCTTGAACTTGCAGGAAATCAGAAAGTCTGGGGAAACTTATCCAGCCTTTTAATTAGCAGGACACCAGCTTTTTAGGTTATGTTGCTTTGGCTGCAAGCATTGTTCTGACTTGCAGTAGGGAGGTAGTAACTTGTTTGGGCGTTGGGGTTTTTTGGGTTTTTTTGGAGGGGAGAAGAGGGAAAGCAAATCTTGGTCTGACAAGTTAGCAGAACTAATTATGCATGTGTGTTTTATTACACCCCTGGCTTGGTTTACTCCTAATCCTGGGTCTGCACATCCTCCTTAATATGGGAGGCCATGTATGCCTAGGACCTGTTGACCCATTAAAAGTGAACTTTAAAGGTAGTATCAGGAAGCACTTCTAGGGCTAATGTTACTGTAACTAATGCTGTGCTGCAGGCCAGGCACTTATCTCTTGGAAATGGGTCACTGAAGCTAAACAAATTCCCCCCATCTGAGACTCTGACCTATATGTAGATTTCAAACCAAGTGAACAAATTGTCAAGGTGCTATTTTTGCATTTACTTTGAATTTGAAATGATGACAGTCCCAGTTCTTAGTCAGTCAGATTTCTAGTAGCAGTGGATTTTTCTTAAAGGACGGGTGAATGACTCAAGGTTGAAAACTGGGACAAACCAGTTTGGGGTTTTTTTTCTGTCAAATAGCATCTGCAGACTTAAACAAGTTATATATCTGTTGTTATTTTTAAAACTAGCCTGGAAATAAAAGACAGCTGCCTGGTTCTCTTTACATGCTTGAATTAAATTTCCAACCTTGACCTGTGAAATTGGCAAAATTTCCATTTGTACCCGAGAGAAGTTGCTGTTTAGGAGGGTTCTTTATCTCACTCCTTCGAAGCTATTGCCACAGCCCTGGAGGCACCTGGTGGATGACGTTTGTTTTCTACAGGAGCTAATGTCAGAGGGCCCTATAGCTTCCTCGCCCAGCACAGAGGAGGAGAGGGACAGAGATGCTGCAACTCCTTCAGCCTTCTGTGCTGAATTTTCGGTGGTGATAGATGGTCCTTGTTGCTGTAGTGGTGACCGTGTTTGTTTGCATCCTGCTCACTAAATCACCTTCACCGAAGATTTATTCTGTCTTGCTGAATGGTCTGAGCAGCTTTCAACTGCTGCCTTTTTTTTTTTTAATGGAAAAGAAAAAAACCCCAACTTGATTAACTCCTTCCTACCCCTCCCACCTTTCTCTAAGCATGGAATTTCCCTCCTACTATGAAAGTACCTAGAGGGCAGGATCAACAGCATTCAGAACGGTACCAGGGACATTAGCAGCTTGTGGACTGCAAATCACAGGGCTATAAGCTGGATCAGCTTCCCAGGCTGCTCTTGGAAAGGATGCTTATGGCTTCATATATGAAACGTGCCTGGCAGCTACATTACTGGTATTACTGTTAAGTATTGAGAGAGATGTTAGACTAGAAAAGATGTCTGTTGTAAGGCATTGCCAGGCGCATGCCTGCTTTCCCTAACTACTGTGCCCGTGTGAAGGAAAGATATTTGTCCTCTCCCGGGGCACAGAGTGTGCATGGCCACCCAGCTGGCATGAGCACTAAAAGGAATGTGAGGCTTTTGAATAGTTGGCAAAGGGTGCGAGTCAGGGGAACCTTGCAAGGAGCTAAACTTAACATAAAGCTCTCCCTGCAGAGCAAGCCCAGCACAGGTCCCTGCACATTCCCTGGGGGGCTGCCTGCCTGACAGGAGCCCCTAGCCCCGATGCTCTGGCAAGTCTGTGGTAGGAGGGGACTGCTGGAGATGAAGTGTGTCTCTTCCTCTGCCGCAGGCTGTGCCAGCACTCTGTTCTGCTCCAAGCATGGCTGTGCTGTGAGTGAGTATGACTGGGTTAATGGAGTATGTCAAGGGAGCAAGGGCAGCATTTGGCGTCGAGCTACTGACTTGTCAGGCCTGGGGAAGTGGTATGTTACAGCTCAGCTTCTCATACAGAATGAGCCTCTGGCTTAGGGCTGTGGTTTTTTTGTTTGTGCCTGTACAGACACACATTTAGAATATGTATTTTTTTTTAATATAATTGAAGTGACTTAGATTGCTGATGGCAACACTGGGTTCAGAAATTTGCATTTCTGAAAACAGCCTGGTGATAACACGGGGTGCAGGAGAAGAGCAGGGTCATGACAGTACATTAGAGGATCGTGACTGTGAGAGGGCAGCACTGTCTGCAGGCAGGGGGTGTTGTCCTTCTGGAAGAAACAGAAGTTAAGAGTCTGGAAGGGCATCAGCAGTGTCTGGTACCAGTGTGAAGTGAACTCATTCCTGGTAGTCTCAGTCTTGAAGTTGATGTAACATTTCTTGAAGGGGTCTTGATCTGAAACCTTTACTTTCTCCTCACATCATAGTGAAACAAGCATGTCTTGGGATAAGGAAATGGTTCCTAGGATATGGTGAGAAAGGCTCATACCTGTCTTCTGCTTTTGCTAAGTCTTGTTGTCAATCTTTTTGTTGGAGAAAGGTGTGAGGAAACCTTGGAGTTTGTGTGTAGAAATCTTTCTACCTTTCACTGAATGACAAAGTAAATTACACTTTAGGAAATCTTTCCCTTTTGATTTGTGGTGTTATTTCACCTTTCCAATCTCAAGGCCACTCTGAAGAGTCTCAAATATCCAGCAGAGGGAAATCTTGAAATGATGAGATCTGCTGGGTTCAAACTAGCCTGCTGGAGGGTATGCAGGAGCCCCTGGCTGCAAATCACAGAAACCAAATGGATGCAGAGCTCTGTAAAGTGCCACCTGGTGCTGGTGGGGACCCAGCTGGAGCCCTTTCCGCACATATATATCCTTGGTTGTCCCCAGCCAGGGGTTGGTGACATGCTCCTTGGTACCCTCTTTGATACTATTGCTGGTCTTTCTCCCTTGAAAAGTGTCTTGCCCAGGTTGAAGAAGGTATTGGGTTTGCCTCACTCTCCTTCTGTCCCACAGGGTGGATGCAAAGGAGGAAGCATGGTAAAGGCAGCATCTTTCCAGGATTCATGGGCTCTTTGAGAGATGATCAGAGGGAGGCCAGATGATCTGCACAACACACGCACCACTGTTTCTCATCTGCAAAGGCAGCATCGGAGTGTTCTCCCCAGCCCCGCGCCACCCGGCTTGCCCGATCGTTTCCGGATGTTTCGCAGCTGCGAGTGGGAAGTCCTGGAGCGATCCCTCAATATCCTCCAGGCCAGTGACTTCTACTGGGGCCCCTTGTCTGTGGGGGAGGCTCACGCCAAGCTCCAGCAGGAGCCCGTAGGCACCTACTTGGTGCGGGACAGCTCACAGGGGAACTGCTTGTTCAGCCTGAGCGTGCGGATGCCCACGGGGCCCGTCAGCCTTCGAATCTCTTTCCAGGAGGGCTATTTCCGCCTCAAGAACTGGTTTTCAGACTGCGTGGTCCGGCTGCTGGAACTGGTGGTGGCGGGGACCCGGAACAACCCCTTGCACTTTGATGAGATGGGGGGAACTCCCCTGGTCTTCTCTGAGCCCTTGTGCCGAAGCCGCCGGGCAGTGCCCACGCTGCGAGAATTGTGCTGCCGGAGCCTCCCTGCTGGTGCCATGACAGAGGACAGAGCAAGGCTGGGGGGCTCCCTGGGGATGTGTCTGAGGGAAGAGCTGTTCTCACCCCTGGATAGAAGGGGAGGGTCAGAGGGGAGCATTGGCCCCAGCCCCTCTCTGTCCTGGGCTGGGAGATGATGCCATGCATATGGGAGATGAAGGGAGATGCCTCTTTTATGACTGTGCTGGTGGGATGTGTGCCACACCAGTGAGGCTGGACTGGCTGCTGGGAGAGGAAGGGGGAGGGCAGAGGGAGCAGAGTGTGAACCCTGTGGCTGTGACAGAAGTGTCCTCCTACATATACAGTGAGTGTGACTTTCCCCAGACATGCCTGGGGTAAAGCCAGATCTGAAGAGCAGACATTTCCACTGCCAGCAAGTCCTGCTCTTTGCTCCATTTATAACTTAAAAGCTTCAGAAAAAGGTGAGTTCCCTATCCTCCCAGGTCAGCCCTGTGTTCTCTTCTACCCCAAAGTTCTTGAGCTCATTTCTGCCTCAAATCTGCCCTTGTGGAGTGCAGCTGAGTCCAGTCCCACAGCAGTGCAGCTTGGACATTGATGGGCATGGCTCTTGTGCTGACCCAGGAAGCTGTGGTGAAGCAAGAGCACGTTTCACTCCTTGCAGCATGAATGTGATGCCTGTTACTTCAGAGGCCAGTGTTTGCACCAGGTGAAACCATTGCAGCCATGTACGATACATGCAGCTTCACTGGCTTTTGCATTGCTTTATTCGATTGGATTTTTGAGAGTGAAGATGGGTTATGCTGTACTTAAGGGCATGGCATTCCTGCAGAGATAACCCTGATCTGGAGAGTTGTATCTGCCCTGGGAGGGTGTGAAGAGATGGGATCCTGCACCCTTTCTTAAGCTCATCTGATAGTGTGCTGCTGCCATCTGTCGAGCATCAGAAGATGTTTTGGTTTTGCCTCTGAAAAGGCAAGAAATTTTTTATATAAAACTTCTAAAATTTTAATAAAATTTTTATATTGATTTTTAAAAGTCAGTGAATACATGGCAATAATTTCATTCCCTTGTATTGTTGGAAGCCCAGTTAGTTTAGTGCCCGCTTGGTAATCAAACTGAAACTGAACAAGTGAATTTCTCATAAAGAACAAAAGCAGAGCATAAATGACTGTTCCTAGCTAGGAACATTAAACTTAAATTCATCTTGTAATGTAACTAATTGAAGAATTTTCTAAACAGAGAATACTTCTGATAATCTCAGCCCTACATTTTTAGAAAGTTTTTTTAGTACCTTGAAATTTGTACTGAATGTTTGAAAAAAACTGAGTAATTCAAGATCTTCGAACAGGGCACGGCATCAGTAAACTTGAACTGGTGCATATGAGTACAAATGGGAGGAACAGAGTTGGTTTAAACAGGGTCATGGTTCATTTCAAGGATAGTCAGTATGATCTCTTCAAAATAAGTGATTGAAAACAGCTACATGAAAGAAGAAATTCAGATACTCTAAAATTTGAGCCAATTCATTTTATATGCTGCTAAACATCTGTAGCTGGGCAGGCAGCCTGCTTTGCTCATGCTGACTTTCTTCTTCAGACCTGGAAGAAAAAAGCTGAACAGGGAAAGAGAGTACACTGAATTTGCTCTATTGTCTTCAGCTGTTTTATCTGAGGAACTAAAGTCTGTGGTCAGCACAGAGAGAGATACAGGCTGTGATTCATCACAGGAGCCTAACTTAGACACGCTGAATTATTCTCTGGAGGGCTCTGTTGCTCTGCCGGCTGTGAGGTGCCTAGCTGCCTGTCTCAGGGCATTGGATTATGAACCAAGGTAGTTAGAGAAATGGTGATCTTTTCTTTGCTGCCTGCTCCTTCCAGCTGCAGGGAGACCAGAGGCAGCTTGGTGGCCCTGTGGCTACTGCGTCTCAGTCCAGTGCAAAAGGAGGAGCTGGGATTGTTAATTTCTGCAGGGTTTGTGTACCCTGGGGTGGCTGACATGTGGGCATAGTGTTGCTTGCTGCCAGCATCTCAGGTGGCCCTGGGCACCTCTGGGACCATTCCTGGGCTCTTGGGTGAAGCCCCTGCAGCCACACAGCTGCCCTCCCTCTCTGCCATGGAGGAGTGGGGCTGGATCTGCTGGCCCGGGCCTCATGTCCACCTCTTGATCCTTTTCTTTCTTGAGGGTGTCTGCTGAGGTGCCTTGGCTGCCTTCCTGCCTTCCTTTCAGAAAGCAGGGGGGTGGAGGAGCAGTATAATTTCTTCCATGTTTAGAATCGAACACAGAAATGCTTCTGTTTTCTGGCCATGGTTATACCTCACTGAGGGAAGAGCTTTCTAACAGTATTGCTCTGACCTGGCTGTGAACTGTTCTCATTTGGCCACAAATGAGCATCTTGGATTGTATAGCTGGGGGCTGCAGAAGAGCACCATTTGTGGCCTGGATTGCTCTTTAGGAAAATCACACCATGGGAGAAGGAAATTGTTTGTATTTTAATAAAATCTACTTTATTTTGTTCCTTTTTTTTTTTTTTTTTTTTTTAATTGCACAGCAAGCACTTGTCTCAGTCTTAAAAGTAAGTCAATTCCATGCAGGGCTGCAGCGAATTGATTTGAGATCTGTGGATGAAAAGCAGTGAATTACTGCCAAGCATTGTTACATTGTGGAAGTTGAAAGCACATCATGTGTGAGTATCCTCATTATTCCCAAGGAGAGGTCATTCTGCAGATCAGGATTGGTGCAAGAAAGGAAATCAATGTAGAAAGAACAGGAAAGTAAAAAGTGCATTGGCTGAGGTAAGCATTAGAGTCCTTCGTTCTCTGCTTGGATGTTGGAAGAGAAACCTTTTTCTTTCAGCTCTTGAGAAAAAAGATGTACAAAGCAAAAGCATAAGAATTTACTTCTATGGGGTAACACTATCCTGCTGCTTTCCTTAGAGTGGGAGATGTTCGCTTTAATGACCCTGCCTCTGAACCGGTCCCTCTATCACGTAGGAGTAGCTCCTGGTGGTCTGTATACAAATGTTTCTTTTGGTGGCTCCTAAGGGGACTTAAAAAGAAATTGCAAACTTCCTCACAACCTCTTGAGCACCATTTGGGGAATAGAAGAAAATTGTTTGCATTTTTATATGTTATGTTATACATTTCTCCAGCTGACTCATTTCAGTTTGTCGAGGAAACTTACACAGGCTTTGCAGATGGTTTTTTTCAAGTGTTCTTCCTAACAGCAGAAGTTGAAAAGTTTAGTGCTTGCAAGAGGGGCTTCCTCTACCATGCTATGAACGGCCTGGATTTCAGTCCCAATATGCTGCAGGCATCCAGCAGGAAAGTGCTCTTTGTCTGCTCCCAACGAGCTGTCTGTTGGTAGTGCTCTGGGACCCTAAGGGTTAATTTCCCAAAATTCTTCACTGAAACTTACTAATAACTTCCATATGTACCCATGTGTGTGCTCAGGAGGGGCCCCACAGCCATCAGCTCTTGTAATAATACTTGATTACCTCTGACATAAGGGTCTGTATGTTGTTAAGGATCAGGATTCACCAAAACACGAGTTTTTGCAAAAACACTTTAAAAATATATTAACATTTAGTCATTCTCAGTGATTGGGAAATGAACTCTTCTAAACAGTCAAGCTTCAAAATAAAGCCTGTGTACACACAGCTGGATCTCAGTTTTGACCCTTACCCTGATGTCCCTCTGAAAATGTGTATTTGCGTAATTAGTGTTTAAGTGTGCTAAACCCCTTAATTTACAACACACCTTGGTTAGGGGAATGTGCTGGCTTTGTCTGATTGAGTTCGTTTTGCCCCAGTTCCTTAGATGTTGGCATCTGTACAGTTTAAACTGCATGCACTGAAGCTTTCTGCCTGCCTTGTGCCATTCCCTGGTGCAAAGGCTGGGCTACTGAGGGCAACCTTCAGAGCGAAAGCAGGTGTCAGAGGGAGAGGGAGATGTGACAGAGTTGCTCTGAAACTCCCGATGCCTTCCTGCAGAGCTGCCTGGGTCTTGGCAGGCTCCTGTTGCCTTCTGATCTCAGCTGGAGCTAGCGGCACTGAGGTTTTGATTCAGGCAAAGCAAAGTACTTCCAAACGCTTCCCGTGCAAGGGCTGGCTCAATAGTAGGACTCTTCAGCCAGAAAAGAGATGGCTGAGGTCTGCAGCAGAGATCTGTAAAGCCTAAATACCGTGGAGTAGGTGACCATGTGTTTTCTTAAAAATTCAGGGTGGCGTCTGATGAAATACTCAAGTTCAAGACTCAAAAGGAGACATTTCATCATATGATGTATAGTAGCTTAAGCTGTGGAAATCTCTGCCACAGTCCACCAGCGAGGCTAACCTCTGTGTGGGTACAAAAAGGGATTTATGGTGATTGATGGAGCACCTCTGGAGGAAGAAAAGCAGAGTCAGGAAATAGGGGTGAGGCAGGAATCCAGGTGGAGCTTTGAGTTCTGTGCCTTGTAGGGCAGACCTCTGCAATGGCAGGAATGTGGGAACAGGCCAGCCTAGGCTCAGCCTGAGGCTCAGCGGCACAGGGGGCAGCCCAGGCCAGCTGAGCTGGTGGCTTGGTGAAGGACAGCTGCGCTGAGCCCCAGAACCTGTGCTGAGAGGGGTCTGCAGCTGGCAGACCTGTACACCCACCCCTGCAGTGCAGTTGAGTGCCCCAGCAGTCTGACAGCAGCCCCAAAGGGAGCAGCCCTCAGGCGCTTCTTCCTAGCTTTCACAAGCAGAAAAATTGGGACACCCATCTGATGCCTGGAGGCAAGCATCAGCACAGGCTGAGAATAAAAACATCACAATCATTCAGAATGAGTGAAGGAGCCTGAACTGTCAGCTGAGGGGTCTGGGGGAGGCCAGCATCAGCCTGAGGTGACGGTGGTGGGGGCAGAGCTGGGGGCTCCCAGCCTGCCTAACTGCATGTCAGAAAGGAGCTGCAGAGCTTTGAGAAGCAAAGCAGTGGCAGGCTCCTAGGTTCTTCCATCCCAGAGCAAATTACTTGCATACACTTTTAAGTATTTTTGCCTCCTGGGCTACCTGCTTTCCCAAGACACCACCCTTGCCATCAGAGCTCTCAGTCTTTGAGCTCGTCTCAGATGCCACTGAAATCAATGACCAGATTATTGTTCCTCTCTGAAGATTTTGGATTAGGCCTTCCTGTTTTGTCGGGCTGATGTGAGCAAAATGTGGGTTTTCCACACTAAATATAATCAAAACAAACCCTACTCCCACTGGCATGTGCAACAAATCATGCTGGGGGAATTGCTGGCATTCGGCATGATTAGCCCAAGTGCAGATGCCTTCCAGCTTGTAAACAATAGCCTAAAGGATTGGAGAGGATCACAAACAAAGCACTTACAGAGAAGACAGCATTTTCAAAAGGGACTTGAGAGCTTATGTCCATTGGGGGTTTGTCTTTTAAAAATAAACTAGAAGTAAACAAATTGACAGAGACGGCTCTGAAGAATCCAAGAGTATGAAAGTGAAGAGACTGGATATAATACTCCAAAAATTAAGTAGGGGAAAACTAG